CCTCTAAATCCATAGTAATTCAGTTTACAAAGAAGAATTTGGAAATTGACGCAGTCAAAGGCTTTACTGAGATCGCAAAATAGTCCTATTGGGTAATGTTTCATTTCTAATGTGGAGTTGATATTTATTATTAATGACATGATCGCATCTGATGTATTGAGATTCTCGCGAAAACCGAATTGAGATCTGGAAAATAGTTTTTTGTGTTCGAAATAAGCTCTAAGCTGCCTGCATAACACTATTTCCAGGACTTTTGAGAGAGTTGGAAGAAGAGATATTGGCCTGTAATTTGATATTGATTCCTTGTCTCCTTTTTTATGGATTGGTAAGACTTTCGCGATTTTAAAAAGAGTAGGGAATTTCCCCTCTGCTAATGATAGGTTGATAAGAAAAGTCAGTGGGCCTTTAAGTAAATCCTCATTTTCTTTGATGATTGTGATAGGTATTTCATCATAACCTGTGCTTCTTTTATTTTTTATTTGATTGATGATATCTACTATATCGATCTCTGTTACAGGATTAAAAAAAAAGGAATTTGTATTATCTATTTTCATTTTTTGTAGATAGAAATCGGCACTGTTTGTACTAGACAAAGAAGAGGCTAACGATACTGCTTCATTGACGAAAATTTTTTGAAAAAGTTCTGCAACATCTAATGGATTTTCAATCAACTGCTCATTTTGCCTTAAATGTATATTATTTTGTTGTCTTTCTTTTTTATCGAGTATATGTTCGTTAATACATCTCCACGTTGTTTTTATTTTATCATCGGAATTCAATAGAAGTTGTTGAAAATGCATTTGTTTTGCAGCGTTAACAACATTCTTCATTATTGTACAGTAGTTTTTTATGTAGTTCAAAATTCCAACATTATCTGTGAATTTCTTTATATTGAGCAGGAACCTTTTGTTTTCAGAAGAAATTATAATTCCCTTGGTTATCCACCCTGGTTTAGTATGAGACATCCCCAGTTTCAATTTATTGATTGGAAACGACTTCTCATAACATTCCAGAATGGTTTCATGGAAAAATGCATACGCTGAATCAACACATCCTTTTGTAAACATTCGAGTCCAATCCATGTTTTCTAAGAGTAATTTGAATGATTTTTTATTTTTTGCTGTAAAGGATCTCTGTTCTTTGTATTGGGTAATTTTTTTGTGTTGATGAAAATTATGAAAAATAATTTTTTGTGCTAGGTGATCAGAGAGGCCAAGATCTAGTACAGAAACTGTTAATTCCTTATCGACGTTTGACACGATGTTATCCAACTGATTTTCTGTCTGTTTTGTGATTCTGGTCGGAGAAAAAACATGGCTCGTGAGACAGAACATATCAAAGATACTCTCTACTTTACTTCGCTCATGATTTTCAAATGAGAAATTCACATTGAAATCACCACAGATGATGATTTGAAAATTTTTAAACATTTCATTTATTTCGAGTAGTATATTCCAGAAGATATCTAGAAAAATATCTAACTTACCAGAGGGTGATCTATAGAGGCAAATGACTACCAATTGAAATTTTTTTGTCACAGCACATGCGAATTCACAGTCCTTTTCGACACTTTTTGAGGAATTAACTTCCAGGCATTGTAGATCTAACCATTTTTTGGCATAAATTGAAACCCCACCACCTTTGAAAGTATTTCTACAGAAATATGATTTTAACTGATAATTTCGAAGCACTACTGAATGAATTTCATCATCTAATAACCATTGTTCGGAAAAACACAAAATATCTATTTCGGAGTGTTCGTTAGTGAGAATATTTGTGAAGCCAATTTCACCTTCATCTTCTGGAAACTATTCGGATGAATATGGTCATTACTTAACCTGGGAGCGAGTCTGAATTGTTTCGTTTTATCATGATTATACATCAAATCAAAATCAAATCAAATCAAAATTTATTCCTTCACCCATACATACCTTTTTTATACACATAATTGCATAATTAAGTTCAATGTATAAGCAACAGTTAATTACATTTTTTTTTCAAGCGATGATTCTGCTGGGAGGATACAACCTAGGTACGAATACCTGTATTGTTGAAAGTCCTCCAGCAGGACCATTTACATTTAGGAAATTGAGCTTTATTTCAATTTTTTCTCAATTAAGAGTGAGTGGATGAATGGCAGGAAAAGAAATGGAATTTATGGTGTTGATTAATTATGACAGTTTTTTTACGATTTGCGGTGGTAGTAATAATAGTAATTAAGATGAGCACAATCAAGCAGGTATCAATGAAATATATCAAATTTCTCAGGGCACTGTGAGAGCAATTTTTTTATTTCTTCTTTGAATTTAGGTTTTTTTGAAATTTGTTTTATGTTAACGGGCAGTGAGTTGAATAGCTTGGGTCCATAGTAAAAATAGGTTTTTTGTGTGAGAGTTTTTCTAAATACGTTTATTTGTATATTCTGCCCTGTAGCTGATCTTGTGGTGGAGGTTAATTTTGGATATTTATCCTGCTCAGAAAAAATTTTTTGGAGACACTGATAGACGTATATTTGTCTGATTTTGAACAAGTTGGTTTCCTCGTACAGTAGTGTAGTTGAAAACTTTCTGTCTTTTTTAAATATTATTTTGATTAAGGTATTTTGAGCCGTTTGTAAGTTTTGCATTGTGGTTGTGAACGTTCCCCCCCAAATGTTTATACAGTAGCTTAATATAGATTCTACCAATGACCTATATATCATTAATAGAATTTTTCTAGATAAAATATCTCTGATGTTGTAAAATTTATGCATTATGTATCGCACCCTCTTAGTAAGAAAAACTATTTGGTCCGACCATCTAATATGCTGGTCAATCATGATACCTAAATATTTGATTACTTTTACACACTCTATAGATGGGCAATCACATTCGGGAAGATTACATTTGGGGTTATGAAGTTTAATGTTAAAGGTGGGCTGATCGGTTTTTGTGGGTGAAAATGTGATATATTTTGTTTTATTAATATTCAGGCTCAAAAGGTTGTGATTTAGCCAAAGTTTAATGTATTTTAGGTTTGTTTCTGTTTTTCTGTGGACTTCACTCCAGTTTTCACCCGTAAAGACAATCGCGGTATCGTCAGCGTAACTAATCAATTTTCCCTCGAAGTTTTTTATTTTGGCAATGCTGTTAATATATATTAAAAATAGAATGGGCCCTAGAATTGTTCCTTGGGGGACTCCTATCTGTACTATTTGTTCTGAACTATGCTTACTTCCTACTCTCGTTCTTTGCATTCTGTTTTTCAAATAATCTTTGAATAAATCTAGTGGAATGCCTCTTACGCCGTATTTACTCAATTTGTCAATGAGTATGCTGTGAGATACTGTGTCAAAAGCCTTTGCGAGGTCGAGAAAAACTGCAAGGCACTTCCTCGACCCATCAAGGGCCCCCGACACCTCCCTCAGCAGACTCATTGCTGCATCTTCTGTGCAAGAGTTTTTAATAAAACCATATTGATCTGCAGTGAGTATTTGGTGTTTGCTCAGAAAACTTTGTAACCTGTGCTTTAATGATTGCTCAAATAATTTACCAAAGTTATTCATGGTCGAGATAGGACGGTAATTTGTTAATTGAGAGCGGTCCCCGGCCTTAAATACAGGAGTAACTACTGTCTCCTTCCATTGTAGTGGGATCTTTCCACTCGCGAAACAAAGGTTTATGATATGGGCTATAGGAGATGCGATTTTTGTGTGGATGTGTTTAATTAGTTTAGTGTTTATTCCATCTGGACCAGGAGAGCAATTGTTTTTTAAGTTTGATATCAACACAATTATTTCGTTTATCCCCACTGGGTCCAGGAATAGTGATGCTTGTACTGCTTTTTCTTCTAAGAAATCCTCTGGTAATTGTGTATTTTCGATTTTGTTGGCCATATTGATTCCCAAATTTATAAAAAAGGTATTGAATAAATTAGATTTTTCGGTGTTGTCCTGCTCCGTAATGCCTTGTTCGCTTTGAATATCCGTGTTTGAAACATGGATTTTTGAATTGCTTCCTGTTATATCATTTATTATGTTCCAGATTTTTTTACAACTGTTTTCTGCTTCATGCATTTTTTCTTTATAGTAATTATTTTTGGTTATTTTCAATAGTGAATTCAGTTTATTCCTATACTCTTTGTAATATCTTTCCTGTTCTAGTGTACGGTTTTTATTTGACATTTTTTTTTTTCAGCGAGTCCCTTTCGTAGATTGAGACTATCAAAGCCGTTGTTATCCAAGGCTTCAGTTTTCTGTATTTTTTTGTTTTATTTTTTACCTCTGAACCTCTCTCAATATATTTGTTTAATTTTTCTATAAACTTGTCGTATGCACCTTGGGCGTCGTTTATTTCAAGGACATCATTCCAATGTTCTTTCTTCAACAGATTATTCATTTTTCCATAGTGCGGGATTTTAAAAGTTTCTTTATTTTCTTCTTGAGCAGTGATATTGTCACAGGTGAATGACAGGTTTACAAAAGTTGTGAAGTGATCAGTGATGTCAGTATGAAAGATGATCGGATCAATATGTATTTCGTTTTTTAATTGTTTGTTTTTTCGGATGAAGATATGATCAATGCATGATTTGGAAGTGGGGGTAACTCTGGTGGGTTTGTTTATATATGATTCGAAACCTTGTTCATTTAGTATATTTAGGTAACTATTTGTTTCATGCAATTCTGTTTTCAGGAGGTTTATGTTAATGTCACCTAAGTAGATTTCTAAATTTTGTTTTTCAATCAATTGTAAGTACGTTTCTAAGTCATTCAGATAATCTAAGACATTGGTTGCGGGGGGCCGATAGTAAGAGGTTAAACCAACTTTGTTATTTTTAGATAAGTGTTTAGTAGAGAAAATTACTCGTAGAAATTTGCTATTTCCTATTTCAATGGTATCAACGGTAGGAATTATGTGGTTTTTTATATAAATTGCAGTTCCATCACATTTTTTGATAAATGAACTGTTATAGTAAAGTGTGTAGTTTGGTATATTATAAAAACTTACCTCTAGTTTTCCTGTTTCGGATAGGATTATAACATCTAAAAGGTCTTTACCTGCCTCTATATACGCTACTAACTCATCAAAATGTTTTCTAAGACTACGAATGTTAAAGTGTGCAATTCCGATTCCGTTTCCAATCCTGCCACTCTCCTCACCATCTATATACTCCTGAAAATTACTCAATTCCTTTGTTTGAATTTCATGTTCATTGTCTAGAGTTTTCAAAAGTCCAAGCATTTCTTGTCTAATGTAATATAATTGATCTCCCTTAGGAATGTTAGAAAATGGGAAAATTAACAATTAACAAAAGTAACAAGTTTGTACATGATAATAATAAAATAAGGAACTATTTATTCAAGATTTTTTTTTTTGTGACAAAAAATTATTCGAGTACGTTTCTAAGATCATTTTTGTTTCTGATGATAGTTATCTTACTGTCTTTGTTTACATATATCTTTCCGTTTTCAGTCCACACATTTTTCAATCCCAGTTTTCCTATGGCTTCATTCATCATATTCACACGAAGGGTAGTTAGGTCTTCCCTTACTACTATGTTGGTTCCCTTCAGTAATTTCTTTTTTCCATAGATTGTTTGTTTGGTTGTGAGTTGTTTCAGTTTTAGGAAAATTCCCCTGCTTTTGTTTCCTTGTCCTTTACCTATTCTGTAACATAATTGAATATCAGCATCTGAAAGATTGAGGGACATTTTATTGTTGAGGATTCTCATCACTTCGGTTCTTGTATCTTCATTCTGTGTCTCTTTGAGATTAAATATTCTAAGATTTGTTGATCTTGTTGATTGGTCAATTTGGTCCAATTTCCGCTCCATCTCATCTTTTCCTTTATCAGAGTCGTTAATTTTGGTTTCTAGACTTTTAAGTTTGCTTTCTAATGTATCATTCTTTTTCTGAAGCTCCGCCACTGTTTTCTCCATGGATAGCAGCTTCTGTTGAATCGTTTTTATGATTGCTTCTGAGACTTTTTGTGCAATTTCACTGATAAGCGATTCCGTTTTAATGGATTTGTTCACAGCTGAATTTACCGTGGTTTCGATTTCCTCGCGGATTTCTCGTGTTATCACCATTTTAATTTTATTGAAAAACTCACTGAAGTTTACAGTTCACTTTGCACTACTTTGGATAACAGTTTCAGTTGATAATTTTCCGTAGAAACAGGGATATTTGTGTTTATTTCGGGAGTCAATTTTACGTCGACTACTCGGTTTCTACCACCTAAATGAATTTTTCGTGTCTCACAGTAGATATATATTAGGAATCCTGTTACAGCTTCAATTGATATTAATTAATGTTAATTGATGACCGGGCAAAGTTCATCAGACTAATTTATATTAATTAACGTAATGATCCATCAGATGAATTAATCAATGGATTCATCAGACTAATTATCTTCAATTGTACGATAATTTTTAAATTGAACACTCCCTTCTACTTTGGCTATAAATACTCTGGTGTAGTCTTGATTTCATTAGTGAACATGCAAGATAGAGACTTATTGGATATATTTATACAAAGTGGTGATTGTCGTGTGGTCGAAACAAAACAGTGTTGCGTTTGCAAAAAAATTATCAATCGAACATATCTATCAAGTGGTTGTTGGTTGAGCAGACCAAAATTGACAATTGAATTGTGCAAACGTCTTTGCAAGCAAACGAGGCCAATAAAAGTCGTCAGATCTTACGCGAAGGATCCTTTACTAGTACTGCTGTCACCCAACCATGAACATTTCTGAAAAAACGGAGAAAATTGAAGAGAACTGGGATAATGATGACTATTCCACTTATGTACCATGTGTAGAAGACAAGGACATCATCACATCTCCACCAATTGGAAAAGGCAAGAGGGAAAGAAGGAGATTCCGAATGGAAGAAAGAATTCGACATAGTCGAATTGAGAATCTACTAACCCAGAGAGAACAGAATACTTGGGCTGATAATGTTTTCAATAATAAAAATAGATTTTGTGATAAAAAATTTAACTCCGATATATGAATCGAATATTTTGTCTCTGACATGTTTTCAATAAATACATATAAAAGTACATGATATTTTCAGTTCATCAGAAGTTGTGACCATGATCACACCTCAATGTTTAGTTTTACAAGTGATTCTTCAAGGCTTTCTCTATATCGCACAACCTTATAATATGAGAGAAGTATTCATATGTTTCGATAGTAATGGTACACGAAATGAAAGTTGGCCTTCTAAATGGGTAAGAATGGAATCAGCTACAATAAATAATGTTTCAACTCTCAAATCACTCATACCCACCAATAGCACTATGTACAAGTTGCGATTGCGAAAGGGCAGTGGCTCCACCATTGATTCTGACTGGTGTGAACTAAATCCATCTCCCCCACTACACCATGATACAAATATAATGAAGGATGATGCGGAATTCAGAATAGTCGATTGGGTTACGTACTACACAGCAGTGTGTGCATCATTGTTGCTGTTCAACCTCATTGTTACAACATGTCTAAAGATTGCCCTAACTGTTTATTGACCGAACTCGTGAATAAACACCGAAACCGAAATAAAAAATTGTATGATTTTACCGAAGAAGAGCTCCAGAATTTTCCACTACATTATCTCATTAAAAATGTAGGTCCGATGGAACTTCTTTATGCATGTGACAAACTGCCATCAAAATATACAGAGAATTTCGAACTTCGGATCCAGCTACCATGCTTCGTCCACTTCAATCGCCCTGAATGGAGAGATCATGTAGACGGCCTTCCTCAAGCACAATCAAGCTGTCATGTTTGTAGATGGGGTCTCGAGCGATGTGGACAGTATTAATATTTTGTATTGAATAAAGGTAATAAAACAAATTCACTCGATAATGATTTTTATTTCATATGTCACAAATATAACATATTATAATCCATAATTACAATATACAAATGGAAATCACATCAAAACTATTGGTCAGAGTCTTTCTCGTCAATCAAATCTTGAGCTATTTCCAAAAACTCATCTAAAGTTCCAGTGATAGCTCCTGGTGTTATAAGCAAATGACCCCAAGCCAAAGTTTTCACATCAGAAGGAATTTTATAGCGCTTATCATCAGCAGATGACAAAGCGACTTTATTTCTTAATTCCGTATGAATGGTGTGGAGAGAAGAAGTGAACATATACATCTTACGTGATATTGTTCCACCATTTTCTACAATATTCACATAGTCTGAAAACTGAATTTGGTTTTTGACCACGTTTTTTGAGACACCTTTGGCTTTTTTCATCACATCACCTGCTTTTACACAGTATGCTTTCGCACCAGTACCATAGAAAGATTCAATAGGTCTTGCGGCATATTCATCTTTCATGCGTCCTATAACAGATTTCGATTTGGGTATTTGGTGTATATTGTCTATGGGATAATTTGACGTATCGAAAAATTGGATATTTTCTTTCATATCATTATAGAAATTTTCTGTGAATATTTCTAGAATCAATGAATCCGTATCGGTGTAGCATAATGTTGCTTTATCACCATATTTTGTTTTGATGTATCCATAGAAAAAATCGTAAATGATAGTTTTCGAAATATCCAATACCGAAAATCCAACATACATCGGTTTATCATAACATACACTAGTCTTTTCCAACTGAATTGCAACCAAGTTCTCACTGAATTCTGTACTGCATTTGAAATGTGGTTTGGCTATCAGAGCCCTTGCCCCCAGAGAATTAGTCCTATTTTCCCAGCGTGAGCAAAGTTTCAAGTCAATTCTTTTGTCGACATTTGCCATGGTTTTTCCAAATATTGAATTTATCAATAATTTGAAGAGTTCTCGTTCAAATTCGTTTATTGCGGAATTCCGAAGGTGCGTGTTCAGGTCAATATATGGCCTCAACCACGACGATTGGGAGAATTCTAAGATTCTATGGATTTTCTTCAGTTTCAAACCATATTTCAAACACTGTTTCAAATTTCGGTAATGAATAATGTATTTGCATTTGTTTCGTAAATTGGGGATCAGTTTGGCACTCTTACTCTTTGGCGGGATCATTTGTTCTGGGCAAAATGGTAAATCGTTGTGATCATGGTGTAGGTTGGCTGGATATTCCAAGTCCACTTCTAAAACGTATCCTTTTGATGAGTCGTCCTCGATCGCATGACAGTCAAAGTTTTCGATATCCTCAGACTCAACCCACTTAAAATCACCTGTTGGAAGATGACTTGCCATACTTGCTCCATATAAATTTGTTGCATCCAAATACATGATGTATGATGTTGGTTTCTGAGAATCGAAGTTTGGTAGGAATTCATTATTGGCCACAGCTCTTCTTTTGCTACATTGTGCCACCCCTCCTCGAATACCCTTCTTGAAAAAATGTATCATATCTATATCAGTCAAGAGCTGAAGTTCAATTTGTGTATAACGTAACATAGCATCCCAGCTCAGTGCAGGTGCTGTCAGATAGTGGGCAGGATCTAGCTTGTATTGTTGCATGCATACTTTTCTGAAATTCTCAAAGACGTCTGCTAGCAGCAGACAATCGGATTTCAAATAAACATCGGCGTAATCTCCCAATGTTTTACATTCGAAGGTATCCCACACATCTATAGCTCTATTATAATCCATGTCTGAAAGTGATTCGCCGGTTAATTCATTATAGAACTTTTCTTTCGGCGGTAGTTGAGTTTCTTCCAATTTTCCCAAGCAGTCCACATAGTTGTAAGGAAAAACTCCTTTTTGTCTTATTAGATCAAATTGTTTGTTATCTTGGAAGTATTTTCGAACCTCGTTACACTGCTGAACCTCCAAATTTTTGCTGAGTTTGTCGAGAGATTTTGGTAAAAATCGAAAGGAGTCTACAAATCTCAACTGAATATATTCATCAAATACTCTTGATAATTTAGATTTATTAACCAATACTGACTTGGAGAATGAAATATACTTTTCTTTAGTTTGGGCTATTACTGATATTCTTTCTCCCTTCTTAGCTAATTTCTTGATAAAAAGATGAGAATCATAATTTGTGAGGTTGTGGAAGAATACAGGAATAGTCTTTGAGGTCTTGTAGTTCAGGTTACAAATAGAATGGGCGGCTGCGCGGAACTTCCCTGTGTAGTGGCAGTGATCGCGAACTTTGATATCAGTTGGCTTGAATGGCTTTTCACAAATATGACACGTGGTGCTATTTTGGAAAGTTTGGTTTTCTATCTCAGTAAGTGGACGCATTTCACGAACATCCTTCATGTGATTTGTGTATAAATCTTGAACGGTTTCATCCAACTTTCTCACAAAAACGTCAGCAGCATCTGCACCGCGATAAAGTACCGACCTTGAGTAACGGTCATCAAAATTACATTTTACATAAAACGCGAACGAATATGGTTCATGTTCACATACTTTAACTGAAAATGATTTATCGTCACAGGGTTCATTGTGTTGAATTGGTTTGAGTAAACTTTCAAAGTCAGCATAAATCACAAACGGTGGTGATAATTGTTTCTCAAAGTTAGTGAATTTGAGGATATTTTCAGGCACTGACTCACCATATTTATTGACTTTCAAATTGGTGGTGGGTATCTTTGTGATCGTATGATTACAGTCATTTTCCTCATGACTTCTCAGCTGTGCCAGTGTTGCGAACGATTGAAGGCATCCATCGCAAATATTTATTTTACCATTGTATTTCGATTTTTGTCTCCTAACTAATTTGCCTAAGTCTTTTATTAGGCAATAATGTGTGTTGCCAACCTTATCGGCCACAAGTAGCGAATTCACATGTGTTGCTTGACGACATGATGTAAAATGTAGAGGTCCAATTATTTCACTTATCATCTTTCCATCCTTGAAAGACGATTCAAGACCGAACACATTAACTGAGATATTGTTGAGTCGCTCGAACTTTGGGATAGCCTTCAATTTCATGGGAAAGTCACGCCCTTGAAAATTCAACAGGTTATTGTAATGTGGATATGATGACGTTCTTATTGGATTACCGTCTGCAGGAAAGATCGCAGCATTGATGGACCATGCGAAGCAGGCTCTATCTTTGTTTTGTATATTCAAAACCGCATGTTTGGATTCTATACCTTTGGGCAGCTTGATGTAGGAAGAGGCCGAAATTGATGAGAATTTATTAATGTTCACATCCAAAAACATTGCATGTTTCAATATCCACCCAGAATCACGTTCTTGAAATTCTGACGCCTTCACAATCATTTCTTCCTTGAAGTCATCATAATCGCATTCA